ATTGATATGAACATAAGTATATGCCGTTTAATCAGAGATGAAGTCGGCTATGTATTGTGATGGAAACAACATTTTGGATTTTATCGCGACCACCAACTGTGGCCACATCGCTCTCCTGTCTTCCGTTTGTGCATCAAAATATGACCATGATAGCTATAATGATGATAATCATTACATTTTACTTAATTTACTTTTGCGATTTGGATAGACCCAGGCCTAGTTATGTATCACTATATTTATCATCTTTTAAACGGGAGTATTTCGGATTCATTTCGGGCTCTAAACAGCCGAAGTACACTATTCTTTAATTCAATTAGATATTTATCAATTTACTTCGTTTTATCTTTTGTTTCATATTCAGTCAACAGCATAATTTTGTTACACGCGGGAGTTCTTACAGAAATTGTTGGGTTTACATACATTATGAATATTTGTTTTTGGGAGCACCTTATATGCCTTGGCTACATTAAGATCACTTGTAGACTGAAAGTGTGCTGTAGATGGGCCCCTCATGCTATTCAGAGTTGAATGAACTCAGTAATGTCTTTACAGAGATCGACTGAATGTAATTTATATGAAATAAAATTTGGAATCAAACAGTGAAATGTTTTTAAGTATACTCATGCCAATAATGGTTGTCACCCCCTTCAATTTTATTTATTGGAGAGGGTGTGTGGGGTGGGAAGGGGGGTGACAACCATTATTGGCATGAGTATAGTTCAGAGGGATTATATTCACTGAATGATTATCAGAATATACTTGTGGTCAGAATATAGTGGTCCCATTGGGACATGTGCCCTGTAGTTCCCTCTTGATGTAAATATAGCACACAACTACCCCTCACTGACTATCCAAATATACAAGGCTTATTACACTTATAACATTGGTTACACAATAAACAACACTGCCACATAACAATGCATAGATCTATGATTACCAAATGAACAGTTCTTCCTTAATAATTACTACTGTTAGGATGGATATGCTGTCTTTTATAATCGGATTGCAGAATGTTTAGATAGTAAATACATCTACTGTGCCGACAGTGATTGGAAAGGGCATAAAGCAAATAACAACAACCCATTGTTTGTTAGTTTTTTGGTTTTATGGGGATTTTTGTTCTTTTTTGGGTATACATAACATAATAATTTTTCTGAATATACATAACATATATTATGCAAGCTTTATGATGTTTCATTTTTCATATTTTACCATTTTTATGAGACATGTCCTGAAATTGTGTCACTGCCGTTAGGAAATTTGTAACATCATTTTGAAAAGAAAAAATACAAAGATAATATTTATTTCATGTACATATATATTAAAATATCTAGCTTTACAATATAACATGGAGTTTTGAAATTGTATATTTATTGCTTATGAAAAAGACAAAAAAATTCAAATGCCACACCTGTGACATCAGCCACTGGAGTTGTGACACATGAACATTGAGTAAAATTGGGTGGTGTAAAGTAAATATAAAACTATAGTTTCCCTAATTTTGTTACTGTAAAGTGTAGAAGATACTGGGATAAGTTTTTTGGTTTGATTTTGACTTAAGTTTGTCGGATACAAACATCTGACATAAATATAACCCTTTGAAATCAGTTATCTGTCATCTTTTTAATGTTGAATTGAATTAGATCTAATTGTTTTACACCACTGTCGGTAATATTCCTGCAATATCAGGAGAGAGAAAATATAAAGCAAACTTGAGCCATATTGGAAATTGTTGTTGTTGATTTTAAAATATGATTTTCATAGTAACATAAATACCCCCTTAAACAACATTCCCAACTTGAAAACTGATCTCTACACCCTCCCATCCTTACTAACACAGGACTGCGTTCTTGTGGGACCCCGAGGTCTCCCCACCACCTCCCTCCCCATGTCCAACCCTCCAACCAGCCTCATTGTAGACGAGGTGTTTCCCCCTTCAGCCGCCCTACACCCAAGGGTAAAGTCTCTCGGAAAGGCCAGAGAGCCCTGCCCCAGAAACACAAGCCTAAGGCTGTGAAGGTATAAGAAATTATTTTAGAAAATATTGGGCAAATCTTCTTTCCCCAAAATATCACCTGATGAAATAACACTTTACACACATTGATGTATTATTGTAGATTGCCATTCGCTTAGATTATCCTAGTTGTTTTTAATGTACAAAATATAGCGCAGAAATAATGAGAGATGGTTTAGGGTTACATGAAACCATTAGACCATGCCTGTGTGGCAAATATTGTTACTAAATCTGAACTGCCCACATGAAGCATCATGTAATCTCTACCCTTGTCAGTGTAATGTTCTTGAGAGAAGCTTGTTGGTAGATTCTGTGAGAGGCCAAGGGACCCACACTGGCAATGACTGCTTTGGTTTCTTAGGTACACAAGGTTGTTACAATGTCTTTAAGTCCATATTGATCATAAACTAAAACTGTTATGACCTAGAAGTGTCCCCCTGTCAAGAAATCTGCTGCCCGCCCTCACTCCCCGGACTACAGCAAGCCCAGCTTTAAACGTCCACAGGTAGGACCTCAGTAGCTGCTGCTGTCACCTCAGAATAATGTGTCCTTTTGTGTAGGACCTCAGTAGCTGCTGCTGTAACCTCAGAATAATGTGTCCTTTTGTGTAGGACCTCAGTAGCTGCTGCTGTCAACCTCAGAATAATGTGTCCTTTTGTGTAGGACCTCAGTAGCTGCTGCTGTGACCTCAGAATAATGTGTCCTTTTGTGTAGGACTCAGGGACCTCAGTAACTGCTGCTGTCACCTCAGAATAATGTGTCCTTTTGTGGACCTCAGTAGCTGCTGCTGCTGTGCACCTCAGGTGTCCTTTTGTGTACCTCAGTAGCTGCTGCTGTCACCTCAGAATAATGTGTCCTTTTGTGTAGGACCTCAGTAGCTGCTGCTGACCCTCAGAATAATGTGTCCTTTTGTGTAGGACCTCAGTAGCTGCTGCTGTGACCTCAGAATAATGTGTCCTTTTGTGTAGGACCTCAGTAGCTGCTGCTGTGACCTCAGAATAATGTTTCCTTTTGTGTAGGACCTCAGTAGCTGCTGCTGTAACCTCAGAATAATGTGTCCTTTTGTGTAGGACCTCAGTAGCTGCTGCTGTGACCTCAGAATAATGTGTCCTTTTGTGTAGGACCTCAGTAGCTGCTGCTGTGACCTCAGAATAATGTGTCCTTTTGTGTAGGACCTCAGTAGCTGCTGCTGTCACCTCAGAATAATGTGTCCTTTTGTGTAGGACCTCAGTAGCTGCTGCTGTGACCTCAGAATAATGTGTCCTTTTGTGTAGGACCTCAGTAGCTGCTGCTGTGAATAATGTGTCCTTTTGTGTAGGACCTCAGTAGCTGCTGCTGTAAGAATAATGTGTCCTTTTGTGTAGGACCTCAGTAGCTGCTGCTGTCCTCAAATAATGTCCTTTTGTGTAGGACCTCAGTTACTGCTGCTGTCACCTCAGAATAATGTGTCCTTTTGTGTAGGACCTCAGTAGCTGCTGCTGTCACCTCAGAATAATGTGTCCTTTTGTGTAGGACCTCAGTAGCTGCTGCTGTCACCTCAGAATAATGTGTCCTTTTGTGTAGGACCTCAGTAGCTGCTGCTGTCACCTCAGAATAATGTGTCCTTTTGTGTAGGACCTCAGTAGCTGCTGCTGTGACCTCAGAATAATGTGTCCTTTTGTGTAGGACCTCAGTAGCTGCTGCTGTAACCTCAGAATAACGTGTCCTTTTGTGTTTCATTTTGTGTTTCCGAAAAACCTTTTCTTGCAATGTATTTTTTCATAGTTTGTAAACATATTTCAGGAGAGGGGTCTCCGGGTTTGGTATGATGAAGACAAGGTTAGTATTGTCATTAATTCAAGGACACATTAACTATATCTGCTGTCTTTCAGTATTGTAAGGCTTCTTACTTGACATTAGCTTTGGGTAATTGCATTTTCCATCGGCATGTTGCGTCTTATGGTTCTTGTGGGTCAAATCCAAATGCTTTGTACCCTCATTCTGTCCACTCCAGGACGACAAGGACTCTCCTTCCCTGCATCCCTCCAGGAAGAAGAGCCGTCACGCGGACCACCTGGCTGAGAATAGTCTGGTTCCGGAAGACGATGACTCTCCATGTCCGCTTCCTCCTCCCAAAAGGAGGAACCGCCACACCAAGCTGAAGACAGACCACCGGGCTGAGAACAAACTGATTCCAGTCTTTGCCAGGATGAGCCTGGAGGATGTCCCCAGATCTGATGCTGCTGCTTCTGCTATTGCTGCTGCTGCTGGTGATGCTGTTGTAGCTTCAGATATTCAGGGGGCTTCTTCAAAGAAAGTCAGTATTTGTTCTATTTATTTTTTGGTCCCACTAGTGTGTCTCCAAATAAAAATGTCTAAGTTATGTCTAATTAAGAATGTAATGGTATTCAATATATACCAGTAGTAGATATGAGCACTGAAGCTCATCTACTATTGTTAAACACCCTGTAATCCTCTTTATGATTTGTAAGTCCATGTTCCTGGTGAACATCATTTACAGCAAGTTTATCGTAATGAAGTATGATAGATATGTTGTCTGTTACAGGTTCAGGAGTGTCCTCGCAAGAGGAAGCTGGATGACCTGAAGCATGAACTGAGCAACAAGCAGCGCAAGGTTGATGCCTCCCGTCTGGAGCTCCAGGCCACCATTGACAGGAAGCTGAAGGAGCTGAAGCAGGGCATGATGGAGCTGAAACAGGAAGTGATTGAGAGGGAGAGGGAGGAGAGGGCATCCTTCAAGGTTACCACGGATATGCAGAGTGGCAGACGCAAGGTGTGGAGGAGAAAGCAAGGCAACTCCTCAACACAGAAGGCTGCCCAGCCACACCCACTAAAGAGACTGCCTGACAACTCCCAGCATCCAGGGAGCACAGAGGCAGCCTCGCAGTGACACGTCACTGGTAAGTGGGAGTGGCATGTTAAGGTTTCATTTGTTGATAGGTTAGGTATACAAGTAGGTATCTGAATGTAGATGGACGGGTGTATGGGTGGTTTTATGCAGTATGGTTAAGTGGGTCTCATGTCGGTTTTATGCACATTGGTAAAGTGGGTAGGTGGAAGTGTGGTTTTATGTAGTCTGATTAGTGGGTGGATGGGTCAATTTCTGTAAGTAGGCTTCGTGGGTTAAGTGGGTGGTTGGGTGGTTATATATAGTCTGGGTTTGTGCAGTCTGGGAAAGTCGGTGGATGGGTGGTTTTATGAAAGTAGGTTAAGTGGGTGGATGGGTGGTTTTATGTTAGTAGGTTAAGTGGGTGGATGGCTGGTTTTATGTAAGTAGGTTAAGTGGGTGGATGGGAGGTTTGTAAATAGGTTAAGTAGATGGATGGGTGGTTTGTAAATAGGTTGCTTGGGTGGATGGGTGGGTTTGTAAATAGTTTAAGTGGATGGATGAATGGTTTCATGTAAGTAGGTTAATTGGGTGGATGGGTTGTTTTATGTTTGTTTTAAGTAAGTAGGTTTTAATTGGGTGGGTGGATGTGTTCATGTAAGTAGGTTAAGTGGGTGGATGGGTGGTTTTATGTAAGTAGGTTAAATGGGTGGATGGGTGGTTTTATGTAAGTAGGTTAAGTGTGTGGATGTGTGGTTTTATGTAAGTAGGTTAAGTTGTCATGGATGTAGTTTGTTTTATGTAAATAGGTTAATTGGGTGGATGGGTGGTTTTATATAAGTAGTTAGGTTAAGTTGTTGAATGGGTGGTTTTGTTTTATGTAAGTAGGTTAAGTCTGTGGATTGGTTGTTTTATGTAAGTAGCTTAAGTGGGTGGATGGGTTGTTTTACGTAAGTAGGTTACGTGGGTGGATGGGTGGTTTTATGTGACAGACACATACGGAAAATGGACACATGGACAAGGACATGGCCGAGACACAAGGACCCATGGACATGGACATGGATGGAACGAGCATGGAGTGAGCAGCCCAGTGGCACAGACACACAACATGGACATGAATGGACAGACACAGCAGGAACAGCCCAGGACGAGTGGAAGGTGGACAGAAGGACACACAAGGTGGATGGACGAGGACACATGGAAGGATGTGGAAAGCCCTGTGAATGGAAAAGAAACATGGACAGGAAAACAGCCCAGGACGAACGGACACATGGAATCAACGGAATGGACACAAGGATCCCACACCGCACATGGATGAACGGAGGAAGGAGCCGAACACATGGAGGAAAAGAATCCCAGGACCCAGCACACAGTGGACCAGACATAGAAGGAAAGGACACATGGAGGTCCACAGGACACCGTGGACCCACACATGGATCACACAGACACATGGACACACAGGAATGGACGGACAGACACCCCAGGACAGGACATGAAGGACCAAGGATGGCACAAAGAGAACAAGGACACAAGCCGGAATGGTGGACGAATCAAACAAGAAAAGTGGATGGACAGGAAGAAACAGTGGACCACACAGGACAGATGGATGAAAAGAAAATGGATGGATGGAACACAGGTGGAAGGAAGAAGGATGGATGGTGAGTATATAAATAGAAATAGTGGATGGATGGTGGAATGAGCCCCAAGAAGCTGTGAGATAGAAGGAAAAGATGGTGGATGGAAGAAGGAGATGGATGGAAGGAATGGAGCCAAGTGGATGGAATGGAGCCGAAGAAAGGTGGATGGAATGGTGGATACAGTGGTGGAGGAAAGGAGCCGGATGAAGAATGGTGGAAGGAAATGGACCAAGGAGGGAGAAGAAATGAAAAGAAAGAATGGATGGAAACATGTGAAGGAATGGAGGATGGAAATGAAAGAAAGTGAATGGATGGAAAGAAATGGATGGAGAGGTGACATGGATGAGGAAAGGAATGGAATGGTGGAGGGTGGATGGATGGAATGGAGGAATGGAAGGAGTGGAAGAATGGGGATGGGTGGTTTCATGTAAGTTGGTTGTCAGTGGATGTGTTGTTTTATGTAAGTAGGTTAAATGGGTGGATGAATAGTTTGATGTAAGTAGGTTAAGTGGGTGGATGGGTGGTTTTATGTAAACAGGTTAAACGGCTGGATTGGTTGTTTTATGTTAGTAGGTTAAATGGGTGGATGGGTGGTTTTGTGTCAGTAGGTTAAGTCTATGGATGGATGGTTTGATGTAAATAGGTTAAATGGGTGGATGGGTGGTTTTATGTAAGTAGGTTAAGTGAGTGGATGAGTGGTTTTATGTAAGTTGGTTGTCAATGGATGTGTTGTTATATGTAAGTAGGTTAATTGGGTGGATGGGTTCTTTTATATACACTGGTTTAGTGTGAGAATGGGTGGTTTCATGTCAGTAGGTTAAGTCGGTGGATGGCTGGTTTTATGTAAGTAGGTTAAGTGGGTGGATGGGTGGTTTTATGTAATGGTTTAAATAGGTGGATGAATGGTTTTATGTAAGTAGGTTAAGTCGGTGGATCGGTTGTTTTATGTAAGTTGGTTTAAGTGGGTTAAGGAGGTTTTATGTAGTGTAGTTAAGTGGGTGGATAGGTGGCCTTATGTAGTCTAGTTAAGTGTATCCGTGGATATGTTTATGTAGTCTGGTTAAGTGGATGGATGGGTGGTATTATGTAAGTAGCCTCAAGAGGTAGTTAAGTGGGCGTGGTGGATGGGTTTTATGTAGTAGTAGGTTAAATGGGTGGATGGGTGGTTTTATGTTAGTAGGTTAAGTGGGTGGATGTGTGGTTTTATGTAAGTAGGTTAAGTGGGTGGATGGGTGGTTTTATGTAAGTAGGTTAAAGTGTGTGGATGTGTTGTTTTATGTAAGTAGGTTAAATGGGTGGATGGGTGGTTTTATGTTAGTAGGTTAAGTGGGTGGATGGGTGGTTTTATGTAAGTAGGTTAAGTGGGTGGATGGGTGGTTTTATGTAAGTAGGTTAAGTGGGTGGATGGGTGGTTTTATGTTAGTAGATTAAGTGGGTGGATGGGTGGTTTTATGTTAGTAGTTAAGTGGGTAAATAAGTGGTTTTATGTAGTCTGGTTTAGTATGTGGATGGGTGGTTTTATGATACATGTTTCCCGCATCATATCAATAAGCTATTTCAATAAATTATTTCATTAAGTCTAAAGCTGTGTGTTTGTTTTCTTGTATCAGATTTGTTAAAGCATACCCTTGATTTAGCATGGATTTTGTGAGTCAATCGTTTGACTGCAGCCTACTTTGCTAGCACTTACCGCCTCCATGGGAATTATACCCTCAAGGTATGCAGATTGCCCTGAGGATTTATAAAGTCACATTCACATATTTGACTGTCGTGTACATAGCCAGCATAAGTTAGTTGAGATTGCCTCTTTGGAAGGTACACACTCAAGGTATGCAACTGGCCCAGAGGATTTATAAAGTCACATATTTGACTGCCTTGTACATAGCCAGTATAAGTTAGTTCAGATTGTTTCTGAGGGAAGTATACTGCAGAATACTTTTATAACGAACACGGATATAACGAACTGACAGCTATAGCGAACTATTTTAAAAGTCTCGATTCAACCTTATAATATCATATAAAAAAGTTAATAGCGAACTACGGATATAACGAACTAATTTTAGTAGTCCCTTGGAGGTCGTTATAAAGGTATTTTACTGTACTTGCAGTTTGCCCTGAGGATGTAAGACATTATTTGTTTGACTACCGTGTACATAATAGCCAACACAGGTCAGAGCAGACTTCATGTAGGAAGTATACTTGCAACTTGGCCTGAGGATTTCAGCAGTCACATATTTGACTGTCTTGTATATACAGTGCAGGCTAATCAGACTGCCTCTTGTGGTTTACACTGCTGTTTGCAATCATGTTACTTAGGAAGTATGAGTTAGTAGTATTTGCTGATAGGAAGCTATCAACAGTATGTTCTCTTCCTTATTGCAGTACATCATGACTCATGTTACATCACACATGCACATAAATCAATTTTGTTACTGCATTTGAGGAAAGTTAAATACTCAGTCCAAGTCACTTGAAGTAGTAAAACAAAACTTACAAATTTAGGTTGTAGTATTTAGTTATATGGTTGAGAGAAAAAAGGTTTTATTATTTGCCAGGATGTGGATGGATTTGATGGTTTAATGGGATGGAGTACATGCCTGTTACACTTCTTCATCTCCCACTACCCGTCTCTCAATCTCTCACTTCCACACTCTCCCTTCCCCACTACTAACCTTCTCCCATCACTATTCCAACCTTCTTCCTTCCCTCCTCCAACCATTCCATTTCCCGCTGCCACCCTCTTCTATCAACACTGCCAACCTCTCCCTTCCTCACTGTAACCAACTCCCTTCCAACCTTCTCCTTTTCAACTTTCACATTTTCCCTTCTCAATGTTACCCACTCCCTTCCCAACTGCCACCCACTCGCTTCCCCACTGCCATCCTCCCCCTTCAACACTGCCACCCTCTCCATCTCGAACTGTCACTCTCTGTCTTTCCCACTGCCACCACTCCCTTCCCTCTTTCTATCTTCTTCCTTCCCTCCTCCAACTGCCTCCCTCTCCCTTCAACAATGTCACCCTCTCCCTCCCCTACTGCCACCCTGCAACCTTCGCACTGTCACCCTTCCCAATGTCACCCTCTCCCTTCCGCACTGTCACCTACTCCCTTCCCCACTGCCACCCTCTCCCTTCATGACTGTCACCCTTTCCATCCCCCAGTGCTATCCTATCCATTCCCCACTGCCACCCTCTCCTTTCTCAATATCACTCACTCCCTGTCAAACTGCCACCCACTTGCTGCCCCTCACCGGGCCTTCATGACTGTCACCCTTTCCATCCCCCAGTGCCATCCTCTCTATTCCCTTATGCCACCCTCTCCTTTCTCAATATCACTCACTCCCTGTTAAACTGCCCCCCTCTATCAACCACTGCCACTTTCTCCCTCCCCCACTTCCAACCTTCTCCCTCCCCTATTCCTACCTTCTTCCTACCTTCTTCCTTCCCTCCTCCAACCTGTCCATTCCCCACTGTCAACACTCCTTTCCCCACTACCACCCTCTCCCTTCCCACTGTCATTCTCTCCCTTCCCCACTGCCAACCTCCCCCTTCTCTACTGCCGTCCTCTCTCCACCTATCATCATCTCCTTCCACAGAACCAACCTTCTCCCTTCTCTATTCCTACCTTCTTCCTTCCCTCCTCCAACCTGTCCATTCCCTACTGCCATCTTCTCCCTTCCCCACTGCCAACCTCCCCCTTCTCTACTGCCGTCCTCTCTCCACCTATCATCATCTCCTTCCACAGAACCAACCTTCTCCCTCCCCTATTCCTACCTTCTTCCCTTCCTCCTCCCAACCTGTCCATTCCCTACTGCCATCTTCTCTCCTTCCCACTGCCAACACTCCCCTTCTCTGCTCGTCAGCCCTCTCTCCACCTATATCATCATCTCCTCTTTCCACAGAACCAACCTTCTCCCTCCCTATTCCTACCTTCTTTTCCTTCCTCCAACCTGTCCATTCCCACTGCCATCCTTCAACACCGCTAATTGTCTCCATCCCTTAGTTCCACCTTCTCCTTTCCCAAATGCCATATACTCTCCAACTATCCTCTCCTTTCCCTCTCCAACTTTCTCCTTTCCTAACTCCCACCTCCTCCACCAATATTTCATCCGCTAACTCCCTCCCACTGCCACCCTCTCTCTCTTTCCCACTTCTACACCCTCCCTTCCAGATTACCAACTTTCTCCTACCCTTCCCCTCCTCCCACCTGTTCATTCCCAAGACTGCCACCTCTCCTTCTTACCGCCACCACCCCTTCCCCCACCACACCACCTTCCCACCGCCACACCTCCCCCACTGCCACACTCTCCCTTCCCCAC